TTTTCTTTAGAAGAGTAGACTTTATTTAGAGAACTTTATATTCCTGTAATGTGATCTTAAGGACATATTTAGGACCTTTTCCCACGGATTGAAAGTTTCATATGTTTGATTCTCTCATATTTATTATTTATCTTTAGGCATAGATATGATTTGGAAATTGCTTTTTCCACTTCCCTACCCTGCTGTAAACTCCTTATTGCCTTAAATACAAGGTCCTTGGTCTGGCGCTAGGCTTTGTCTGTGGACCTATCACTCATTCCACCTCTTAGCGTGTGTGAAGCTCTGGGCTGTAATGTATGTCCCTGTATCTCCACCCTTGTGCTAACACTCTTGTCTTCAACACATTCCCCTTATCACACGTTTCCCTTCTCAGAACTTCTTAGAGGGCCAGAGGTCCAGCCCACTCCTGATAGCAAGCTTTCTGGTATATTAAAAATAAAAATCCCCAAATTGCTTAACAAAAATTTTTGGTATGTTTTAAATGTTTGCACATAGCACATTAACATTAATGCACGTACTCAAATCCAATGTATGTATACACTTGTTTGGAGATAGCATCTCCAAATATATAAATGTGATACTCAGGCCAAGTGATCCTACTGGCTCCCTCAAGGCCCCTAACCCATGAGAAACTCTACTCTCATTTTGTTGTCTAGAGTGTTCTCTTCTTACAAGTCCTGTAGCACTTTGACTAAGGTTCACACATTTTTTGTTGTTTGTTTGAATTTCGCTCTTGTTGCCCAAGCTGGAGTGCAGTGGTGCAATCTCGTCTCACTGCAACCTCCAACTCCCGGGTTCAAGTGATTCTCTTGCCTCAGACTCCCGAGGAGCTGGGATTACAGGTGTGTGCCACCATACCCAGCTAATTTTTTGTACTTTTAGTAGAAACGGGGTTTTACCACGTTCACTAGGCTGGTCTCGAACTCCTGACCTCAGGTGATCTGCCCACCTCTACCTCCCAAAGTACTGGGATTACAGGCGTGGGCCACCATGTGTGGACCGACACACAACATTTTTTAAGGCTTTTTCCCACATTCCATATCCTTTTATTTATTTATTTTTAATTTAATTGGTATATAAGTTGTTGGTACAAAATATCACATGTAGCCCACGCATATACATAGATACATATTTATGAGCTACATGTGATATTTTGATATATGCATACAGTGTGCAGTGATCAAATCAGGGTAATTGGGATATCTATCACCTCAAACATTGCACACAACACTTTTTATATACTGAGGTACAGCATTTTTTGTGTATATTTTACTCTTTATGAGATTATAAGCACCCTTGGGGTAGAGAATGTGTACTATTAACATTCAGTGAACCCATGATGAATTAACAAATGATGCTAATCTATTTATCATAATATTACATGAGCTTTTACTTGGTCACAAAATATAAGCACGGGTATTTTGAATTATTTTCAGAGTGTGATTAAAATCAGTATTATTCACATAGATACATGTGTGTGTGTGCATGTGCACGTACATTTTTTACACTAAGTCATTGAAATAGTATTTATGGAATAAATTAAAACATGCTTTTAAGTTTATGATACTTTGATTTTATGATTTTAGTTAGCTTCTGCACATACATGTTTATTGAATAACATTGCCAGATGCTAGGAATACAGCTGTGAACCTGTATCACGTAGCTTCTAAAAGGGCAAAAGAAAATAAGCCCAGTAATTTCATTGTGTGATCATTGCTTTGAAGGGAAATATATTTTGCTTGTTAAAGCAGATGGGATGTGATTTCTGTAAATGACTAAATAGTTTTAACATATTGGAGAAGAAATTGAGTCAATAAAGGAATCTTAGCTGGGATTACGTGTAAGAATGACAGATTGAAGTGAAGAAGAAATTGTACAAAAGCAGGCAGCTAGTTGAGGTTGAAGAGAGGACTAAGCAAATTACTGCTAAATCTTATGTATCAACTGGTAAACTTTCAGTCTTACTGATTGGAAAAATTACTGACAAGTACTATGTACCTATCACAGTGTCAAAAGTTTCTTTGATTTTATTTTTAAGAGAAAGAAATTGAAAGACCTCTTCTTGATGGTGACTTGAGAACTGTATCTTTATGTTAAAGAGACCCCTAGGATTTTTAAAAGGCCTGTGGAGTACACCAAAGGTGACTGCGTCAGGCTGTGACTGATCTTCCTCCAACTGAGATGATCAAGATTACTGGGAAATTTCTGGTCTGATTGAAGTCTGTGAAAACTTGGGCTGGCATCAGCATTGGCAAAGTGTTGTAGAAACATTGTAGGGATATTGGTGGTGTTTACTGAGAAGACTCCACAAAAACTGGCGGTTGCTCTACGTAGTTTGAAATTCTAGAGTCAGCCAAGTAATGGTTAGTAAAATAAGCAAGGCATATAGTTGTACTCATAATTTTATTTTTCTTAGTTAACATTTGATAATTCGGTCTTATGGCTCTAAGAGACATTAAGTATGTTTTATTTGAATATGTTTCTATTTTTAAGAAGGAAAATCTGAAATTTGGTAGTATCTGACTTTTGGAAGAAATTTATCTCGGTTTTAGATAGCTTTTAGGAAATATCGCCATCTAATGGCTGTTGTATCAAATTACAGATAACAGTTCCTGAAGGACTCAAAGACCCCGTAAGGTGCCTAAGGACTTCATAAAATGAAGACTCCTTAAAATTAGTCCAATAGATTTTACTTATTTTGTCATCAAAAAACTGTAAGAGTGTGATATGCAGAAGACCTGATTATAATTTCAAGTGCCCATTTTGTTCATCAATAATCCTTAAAACAAAAATAGCATGTTTCAAATAAATTTATTTAGTATATTCATTTATACATATTTTGATTATTGACGTAAGTCAGTAACTGTTAGAATGAAGTTTAAAAATTTCTAAATTCAGAGACGAACTTCTTTTCTTCTGACTAGTTTTTTGATTCTTGGATGACAGGTTGAAACAGATGTTCTCTATGAACATATCCAAATCAGCAATGTTAAGTTTGCATTGTTAGAAGCGTTTACATGTAACATCTTACCAGAGCCTGAAGTGATGCCTCCTTTTGCCTCTTGATACAGCACTTGTCTTACGGCAACGGCAGCTTACACGTGGATGCTGCTTTCCAGCAGACTCTCTGGAGCGTGGCCCCAATCAGCTCAGGAAGTGAGGCAGCCCAAGGTAAAAACTCACTTCAATTAGAAGGCCTGTCCTTGATGCACAGTTGACAGTCATCTTTGTAATTGTGATAATGAACTGATTGTTAATTAGAGCTTTTTTGTGTGTGTCTAAATATTCTGTAATGCAGATACCTGACATTTGAGGATCTTGTTTAAATTGCTGTTTTGAAAATGAAGCTTGGGTAAAGATTAATCTTCCCTTATTTTTATGCAACTGTCAGCTTCTGTTTATTTGTCTGTGTCTTCTGTGATAGCCTCCTTTGGATTGTTCTCTTCAATTTTTTGACCTCAGGGTATTGCCTAGTTGGACTAATGTCAACATTTCTTGTTTTCTGGGGTCGGCTGGATCATGAATTTTATAATGAAGCAGGGTTTTCTAGGGAAATATCTGCATATGTTCTGGTTATTCCAACTTACATAGGTTCACATCTGATTCTATACATGTTTGTATGCTTAACAGAGGATTTTATGTGTTTGAGGTCATGTCTTTTAGTGGGAATTTCCTTAATTGTAGGACTTGGGTACTCGGGACTCAGAGGGAGCGGTAGACGCCGTCTATCTCTGTGACCTTGGCCAGGTCCTTAAGACTCACTAGAGTAGATGATCTGTCCAGCTATCAACATCTGACCCTGACAGTCCAAACCTGAATGATTTTTAATCCTTACAGGGTATCTCATTGGTGGTGATGTCCTCAGGTTGCTTCATGGACACATGGACGAGTGTCTCACTGTCCCTTCAGGAGAGCATGGTGAAGAGCAGCGGAGGTTGGTACCCGAGCTCAGTGCCTTGAGACTTACACTATTTTGCCTTGATGTAATGTTTTCTAAAAAAAATTAGCAATCCATCTGTTCAGGCCATTGGCATTATACAAGATGGGCTACTGACATTCATTTGTTCATGGAAGTTTTCCATTCGTTGACCTCCGTAGCTTTTTCTCATGTTATGTTTCTATTACCTACCAATAGAAGAACTGAACATTTTTGCATAATTAAACATATTAAGAAATACTGAACAGGCAGGTGCAGTGGCTCATGCCTGTAATCCCAGCACTTTGGAAGGCTGAGGTGGGTGGGTCACCTGAGGTTGGGAGTTCGAGACCAGCCTGACCAACATGGAGAAACACCATCTCTACTAAATATACAAAATTAGCTTGGCTTGGTGGTGTATGCCTATAATCCCAGCTACTCAGGAGGCTGAGGCAGGAGAATCACTTGAACCTGGAAGGCGGAGGTTGTGGTGAGCTGAGATCATGCAATTGCACTCCAGCCTGGGTAACAAAAACAAAACCCCATCAAAAAAAAAAAAAAAAGAAAAAAGAAAAGAAAAGAAACACTAAACAAAATAAACAAAGTGGGAAGAGTGACCATGTTGCATTAAACTACTTAGAACTTCATTAAATGCTCATTAGTTTTGATTAATTTTCTTTTTAGAATGTTTAATCTCAAATTATTTTCAAAGTCAGAGTTGTCAAATTGTGCCTAATTTTGGTACCCTTTTCTATGACCTATCATTTACTGGTACAGATGATAAAATTGATCACTTTCTCTCATATTTAATGTGATATAATACCTCTCTCCTGTTAATTTATTTGGCACTGGGACAAGATTAAAATGGCTTGAATCTACTGAAAAAAGTGCACAAATATTACAAAACCATAAAAATAGGATAGTTTGATTGCCTCTGCTCGCTCTCACAAATTAATGAATGTAGTAAGATGAGTATATAAGCAAGAGATTACAGTGAGAGAAGAAGCCTTTATGATTGTTGTTATGTATCTAAATCTTGTGGTGGACGTTTCTCATATTAACATGAACACAGGTAACTATTAGTTAATATTTATTATTATAATTTAATATCTAGGGAAAATTTAGAAAATTAATAGGCATTTAACCAGCTACATAATCTCAGTAAAAGTCCCTCTGAGACCTGGGTACTGGGCCTTAACCTCTGTTCCCAGGCAGACCTAGATGGTGGTCAAGAGTGACATGCAGACCGTGGGAACATTCCGTAACCTAAAAATGCCGCTTTCAGTTGGTTTAGGAAGATGTCGATGGTGTATGTTGATGTAAATAGGGTTTGCATAAAAGATAACAGAGATTTTAAGGCAGCTGGATTAAGGACTTAATTTCAAACAGAAGTATAAACTTAAGAACTAGAGTGATAGGAGGTATATTCTGGGAATAGCAATTATTCCAGAGCGATGAGGAGGAAAATGGAGGAAAAGGTGGAAAGTGGGTGAGAGAGTGGTTTGGTCAGCTTTGAAGGATCTTCAGTGCCATTCCCGTGGGCCGGCTTTTATTCTGAGGTTCTTAGGAAGGGATGTGGGGATTGGAATGGAATAGCTAGGTCTCTTTTAAAATAATAACTCCATTAGGCCAGGAGAACTTAGATTAGAGGTGGGGAGAATCTGAGTCAGGGAAATGAAATGCAGTAATTCACGCGACAGACTCTAAGAACTTAACCCAGAGAGTGCCTTCAAAATGGAGAGGTTTGCTTGCATCAGAGACATTTAGCTAAAAGCGATGGGCTTAGGGAAGAACGGGATACAGGTTGTGAGAGAAGGTATCAGATCCAGCGCCATCTCGTTTCTGCCTGGGGAAGGCAGATGGAACTCAGGATGGCAGGAGATGGTGCATGTTTGCTATAAAAGGTGGAGTTAAACTTTGTTTATAGATGAGTACAAAGCCTATGAGACATCAGGTAGGAAATTCGGATTTCTGAGTCTAACTTAACAAAGCTTGAGAGGGATGTAAATTACAAGTGTAAGGGGGATATTTAAAGGAATGGGGCTCATCAGAGGTTCATCAGATAGAGAGGGAGGAGCTGTGATTGGATGTGTTTAGTAATTTGGGCATCACCTTATGAAAGCTGTAAAGCCCTGGCATGGCCTAACCAGGCAGAAGGCTGAGGATGGATTCCTGCAGAATGCTGATGTTTAGAGAAAGAGTCAGCAAGAGAGCCAGAGTGATGGTTTAGTGGGGAACCAGGTAAGTTAGTCATTGGAGCCAAAGGACTGGGCTGTGAATATGTTAAATGCTATGATGTATTCATTTGGAGTTAGGGCTTGTAAGAGGCTGTGCGAGAGTCTTTGGATCCTCAGTCCCTGATTTGTTAAACGGAAGACTTAGACTAAGGGGTTCTTAGAGCTCTTTTAGCTCTATCGACAGACACTGTAGAGCTTTGTGGTTAAGGCAATGGACTCTAGAACCAGGCAGGTCTGGGATTGGGCTCTGCTCTGCCACTTACCAGTTGTGTGACTCATGTAGGCGACATCATTTCTTTAAACATTGGTTTTCCCTTTTTGTAAAGTGCAGCTTAAGTGTTATCTCCTCCTTTGTGGGGCCATTAAAAAGACCAAGAAAATACACATAAGATACTGGATGCATACTGAGAAATCAAACAATTTTTGTTGTTGTTATTATCCCTGTGATTCAGACTGAAGAGGCAGCATTTAGCCAGATATGTTTGAAAAGTCTGAGGGACCCTGGGCATGTGGATGTCAGAATGGTAGAGCATACACTGTGTAGGAAGAAAATCTAGACTAGATCCAAGAAGACCCTGTAGATGGCTAGTTATTATTGCAGAGAAATCTAGGGGACATTTCAAAGATATTTTAATAATGTTCTAGACCCACTTTCTTTTTGCATAATGTTGAAGCCTGCTCCTCCTTTCCAAATGGTATCCTTGATTTCACGTTGATCACTTCAGTGTCAGTTTAATCTCAGTATGTAATCAGACCAACCTATCAGGACTCTCAGTAGGCGGTGATGGTGGTAAGAACACATTTGTTTGCGTCCCTTTTTCTAGCATATTTACATGGGTGAAATTGGATTAAAATGGATGCCAGATTATGACTCGAGGGAGAAAATGAGTCAGCAGTCGGTGGCAGGGAGCCACAGGGATGTTGCTTAAGAAATAACCATTTGTGTTGACGATAGTGGGGTTGAGCAATTACCTGAATAGAATAAGAAAAATAATTCCTTGAATTTCACAGTTATACAGCACTTTTTCTAAATCTTGTTAATATCATTGTTTAGAAAAATTTCGACCTCCCTCTGTTATTTTCCTAGGTCATTGTAAGGAACTTGGGGGAGGCAAAGGACGAGCCTGGAAGCAGTCTTTCTTTATTTGATATCAGTCTGTACTGGGGCAGAAATGCATAATGAAGATCTAAACATACATTTTTTCATTCATTAGAAAAAGAAGTAAAAGTAAGGTCAGTTTTGGACACTGATTTGAAAGCTGGAGAAGTTCCTGGGAAATAGATAAGATTTTCTTTTACGTTATAATTCTTTCCTGTAATTGTGATCTGGCTGTACTCGTTAATCGTATGCTGTGGTTAAAGTTAAATAACTAAAGTCCAATTTACTTTGTGATAAGACATAGTGGAAACTATGAAGGAAATGGCCAGAAGACATGTTTACCTCTGAGTGACTTAGGAGTAGTCTGCTCACACGTGCTGTGTTTCTACATGTAGCTGTCCACCTGTTCCTGCTTTCTTCCATTGACAGTTGTTTAATATACATAACTGTAATTGTAGCTATTGAAAATCTAGCTCAATTATGGGCTTTATGAGTCTGGATATCAGTAGAGTTATATTTACCTTCCTTTTCACATTTAGATATGTATGTGTGTGTGGTTAGCTATTCATTCTCCTGAAGAATATTAATAAAGCTCTTAGAATGAAGAGCACATAGAGCTATTAAATTAAGAAGAACTGAATTGGAGATGAGTCCTATCAGAGTTAAACTATATATATATATATTTTTTTTTTCTCATGCTTCCTGCCCATTTTGCTTTTATGGATTAAATTCTGACATGTTCATGAAATACAGCATCACTATTGTTTTAAGTTACTTGTGATTTTTTTTTCAGGAAGACAAATAGCTCTAAAATGACTAGTAGGGGCCAGGCGTGGTGGCTTATGCCTATAATCCCAGCACTTTGGGAGGCCAAGTCGAGCAGATCATGAGGTCAGGAGATCGAGACCATCTGGTTTACAGGGCGAAACCCTGTCTCTATTAAAATACAAAAACTTAGCCACGTGCTTGTAGTCCCAGCTACTCATGAGGCTGAGGTAGGGGAATTGCTTGAACCTGGGAGGCAGAGGTTGCAGTGAGCCAAGATCGTGCCATTGCACTCCAGCCTGGCGACAGAGCAAAACTCCATCTCAGAAAAAAAAAAAAAAGACTAGTAGACAACTTGTCTAAACAACAATAAAAATAGTAAAAATACAATGTATAGTGGTTGTGAGCAGTCAGGTAAAAGGGAGAGATCCCATAAGTATTAACCATAGTGTGATAACTTTTTAGTTCTTATTAAACTCTTTAATTAGTGAGATAGAATGAGTTAAAGAGGAGCTAGTCTGGTAGCTGGGAAGGGATGTGTCAGCATCCCTTGTCAATCATGTTTTAATTATTGCTTTAAAAATAGACTTTTGCACAATAGGGTAACTACAGCCAACAATCAATTTATTATACATTTTAAAATAACTAAGAGTATAATTGAATTGTTTGTAACATAAAGGATCAATACTTGAAGTGATGAATCCCCCATTTGTCCTGAAGTGATTATTATGCATGGTATGCCTGCATCAAGGCATCTCATGTACCCCATAAATATATGTACCTACTGCATACCCACAAAACTTAACAATAAAAACTTTAAAAAAATAGACTTTCATTCTGGAGGCTTGAAATTTGATTACTAAATTTTATTTCAAGCCTGAAAGATTTTATGTGGAGAGTATTTTCTGTTCTAGATTTTGTTTCTAGATTGCATCTCATTATTTCCATCCAAAATTTTATGTAAATATACTAAAATATCAACAATGGCATTTCCTTGGTGTGCACATAACTTATTTATGGATTCCATGTGCACTCTGTGAATGAACCCTGCCATGCTTTTACAGTAATACAGTTTAAAATGGATTCATTAGGGAAAGATTATTTGGGGCCTTTAGTTTGGAAACCTATTAAGGAAACATTGTTTGAATGGCGTTATGTTAAAAACAGGTTTGCAGTCTTGAAACTAGTTTTGTTGATTCAATAAGAATTTATAGAATGACTATTATTTTTGGGGTGCTGGGGCTATAGTAGTATATAAAAAAGTTACGAAGGTTACTTTCTCAAGAAGTTTACAATCTAGCGGGCATATATGACAATAAATATGCTTATAAATTCATAACTTCCCCACATATACACAGATAAAAATGCATTAGGTGATGATAAGAGCTAAGGAGAAAAGTAATGCATGGAAGGGGGTGGAGAGTGTTCCTGGGTGTGTTACTTTTTGTGGGGTGGTAAGAGGGAGAGGTGGGGAGAGGAAAGGTTGTTCTTCCTCCACCTTATCTGGCATTACTCTTGGCATAAGCTTGCTGTGTCTTGTTACTTTCAAATGCAGGACAATTAAGTCATAGTTTCTGACAATATCTGGAAACAATGCCAAATTTGCTTTCCAAAATGTGGCTCAGCAGAGAAAATCTATGCCATGTGTATGCATGACAGTATTTTTACCTCCATGCCCCTTTTAATATTATGATGATTTAATGAGCTTTAGTTGTAAATAATTGATAAGGCATGAGATGGATTGGATGTAATGAATTCAATGTCTCTCCGTCTGGCTCAGAAAGAGATGCATAGTTTATATCTGTGTACACAACTGGATGACTAATATCCTTGTGAGGATATTTGTATGCCTTTGGTCGTGACCTAGGAAGAAGCTTTGAAAGCTACTCTGTTGTTCTCCAAAATGGTCAAGGATAAAGTTTATCCTATGAGGGCTTTACTTCCTTTTCTCTATCTTCACCTCCTGCATGTATCTTTTCAGCCTGGAACTGAGAGTCAGATGAGTTCGCTAAACAGTCCTGATGGAAGAGTCAGCACATAAAGGAGAGCTACCTTCTGCTCTTTGCCTCTTCTCCCTTGGGAGAGATTTGATTTTTTCCCCCCAAACTTAAAGTCCTTGCTGATTGCAGAGAGCACAGTAGCTGCTGTAGTTTGTCATGTTCTAGCAGCCTGACCTGGTCTAGAGCCGCACTCTCAAGGCATGAGCTGGCTAGAATGACTGCATTAAAATGTGGGCTTTTAACACAGACGATGGAAAATATTCATAGGAATTTGAGTTGTCAGATCTTAGTAAAAATGAAAAAAACATGAGACATTTGATGCATGTAGAGTATATGAATAGAAAAAGACAATAGATTAAAATCAGCATTATACAAAAAGAAATCTCTCAATTATTTTCTCCATTAAAATTTCAGAACATGACTTGTCTACATTGGGTTTATTAACCTAATCTGGATGTAAGCAATATCTTTCAGAAGAAAAAAAGAGAAGCATCTTCTTTTTTAAATTTCCAGGTGCCTTTATGGTTGTACTGTATCCTGCATGGGGTGCAAAGTAAAGATAACAACCTGTATCTTGTTGTTTTTCTGCTCTCGTCCTACTTACAGGATTCTTTCAAAGTGATTCAAAGTGTAAGGGTATTGTTGTTTCAAATCCATGCTGATTCATTCGCATTTTATGAGGAGGTGTCACCTCAAAATATACCTATTTTCCCTCGTGCAGCAACTTGAATGGGGCTATCGTCACAAACTCAGCCCCTGAATAAATAAGTAATGCTTCTTGAGATGCTGGTTGGGCAAGTACTTCTTGATTTGTTAATAGGAAGAGACTCGCCAACTGCTTTAGCTCCTGCCTGTGGCTCAGCTGCCCAGCCACATGCTCCCAAAGGTAACAGCAGCAGAAATCCTCCTATGAAAGTGTGTCAACTGAAACACTTATTTCGCTCTGAAATCACCTTTTAAGGCTGGGTCTGCTTTTCAGTCACTTCAACTCAATTCCTTTAATATTTATTGAGGGACTTGGACAGCCGAGACCTTTTTGGTGTGTGCCGGGTGTAAAAACATGTCTGAGGCCCAGCCCCTGTCTTTCTGGAATTCACCATCTGTGTAGTCTATTCACACACTGCTATAAAGAAATAGCTGAAACTGGGTAATTTATAAGGCAGGAGTTTTAATTGGCTCACGGTTCTGCAGACTGTGTAGGAAGCATGGCCGGAGACACCTCAGGAAGCTTACAATCATAGCAGAAGCTGAATGGGAAGGAGGCACGTCTTACAGGACTGGAGAGTAGCCGGGGGAAATCTGTGCCTATGATCCAGTCACCTCCTATCAGACCCCTCCGCTAACATTGGGGATTATAATTCAGTGTGAGATTTGGGCGGGGACATGAATCCAAACCATATCATCACCTTTTAAGATCTCAACAACACTATATTCAGGATGAAGTGAATGTTAATCTGGGAGAAGCCATTTATAGTTTTTATAAAAATTAAATGGTAGAAAACATATTTTACCATTCAACCATATGAGAAAGATCAGTCAAATCTTTGTTGACCTTTGATTTTGAAGTGATATTTTTGTCAGCCTATAAAGTTAATGAAAAAGCTTTTCTTTTCACTAATCAGTTTGAACCTGCTATTCAGTATCAACTCTAAGTGGGAGTTACAGGTGAGTGATTGTGGGTGACTGTAGCTGTTTTTCAGACAATTCCTACTTGCATTTAAATACGAGGGTCTAGTTGGACGTGAACCCAGCCCAAGTTAACTTGATTGAGGACTGCCTTTAACTTTCCCCATCCCACAGCGCCACTGGTTACCCGTATTGATCTGCATATTCGTCTCTTCCATTCAGTTTTCAGCCATGGTTGTGCCATTCATTTCTTTTTTTTTTTTTTAATTGCATTTTAGGTTTTGGGGTACATGTGAAGAACATGCAAGATTGTTGCATAGGTACACACGTGGCAGTGTGATTTGCTGCCTTCCTCCCCTTCACCTATACCTGGCATTTCTTCCCATGCTATCTCTCCCCAACTCCCCACCCCCCACTGTC